GACGGCTAGCGCAGATAGCCCTCGTGTAGCTTTGCGCGAAATTCAAAAACAAACATTCTTAAAATCTCTCGATCATTATATCATTGTTAATAGCAGTTTTCTTTAGCTAACGTCTGGAGTAGCATACACAGATATTTTTAATTAGATTGTTGATCTAGCACAATAGAATTAATTAGATTGGTGATTAAACTATTGATCAGACTGTCATGGTGGGTGAGCGGTGAGTTTGGACTTACAATGCTAAATTCCGGGGTCTGATTTTCCACAGTGGACAGAGCAAAGATAGTCCATTGTATAGATTAGTAATATGAAACCCAACATCAATAACAAAATTAAACAGATTGGTGATAAAATACAGTTTTATTAATTACAGTTGTAATTAAAACATTTATATTAATTTAAACATTTCAAATTTCAACTTGGACTAAACTGATAAAGAAATCTCAGTTACGAATAGTAAATATTGATTATTTTGCCAGAACACAAAGCCGTTTATTATTAATACCAGTGACATTTCTGGTTAGTTAAACTCTTGTTTCTCTGGCGACAGATTGAAGCTACACTGTCCTCTACAATAAATATTGACTTAACAATCACGGGACTATTGCTGTGTATGTGTATTGTAGACAATGTGAAAACACTGTGAGATAACAATGTTCGCCGAATCCCAAGTTATCTTGAACTGATATACATCAATAACTTGCCATCTGGTCACTAATTATTGCATCAAAAATCGTTTCCCGCCCATGGATAGTCAGTTTTATATTAATTATTCAGTTTGAAGTTTCTTAACTGTTTAGAACGATCACGTCTTTATTCGCTACTGCGCACTTTTACTGGTTCTGAAAACTTAATGTGAGTGATAGGCCTAATTTAGTTGATAGAAGTTCATAACACTATCCAGTGAGCTGTGACGTTTAACTGAATGAGGGTTAACGTGTTTTATTCAGCCTAGAAATAAGAAGTTAAGCAGATATAAGGTGAAATTGTGCATATTCATATTAAATACTTAAAGTGTATTTCGTCGTAACAGATAAAAGTACCACTAAGAAAAGAGCTTCATTTGTAACCTGTAACCTTAGAGTAAATGATTGATGTTGTCTTTTACTTCCATCTCTTCATATTTTTATTGTCAAATTGACTGGTCCAAATATGTTAAAAAACCTTCATCTAAAAATAACTTGTACAGCATAAGAACAACAGTTGTTAAAAGTCGCTAAAAACCGGGTTTCGATACCAGTGGTGAGCACAGCACATCTAGACCATTGTGTAACTTTGTGCTTAACAATAAACAGATAAGCAAATTAAATCTCTTAGTTAAAGTAAATCCCATTTTTCAAGAAAGGGGAGGTAGGTAATGAAGATGAGTTTGATAATTTGGTTTAAGGTATATTTTTCAAGAAAGGGGAGGTAGGTAATGAAGATGAGTTTTGGTAATTTGGTTTAAGGTATATTTTTCAAGAAAGGGGAGGTAGGTAATGAAGATGAGTTTTGGTAATTTGGTTTAAGGTATATTTTTCAAGAAAGGGGAGGTAGGTAATGAAGATGGGTTTTGGTAATTCAGTTTAGAGCATTTTTCAAGAAGGTAGTGGTTAATTTCTGCTATAAATCTCCGAATATTATATCCCGAACTGTCTGTGATTGTTTTTCTATCCATAAACGGAAACACTGTAATAAATGTTAGGACAATTGTATTACCAATTGAAGTTTGACTAACATAATCAGCTCCGTTAATGCTCAAAATAGTAGCCTAAGTAATCTTTGAATTATTATCTTCCCAAACTCAACTCTCCCTCCTGTCAACATGTAGCCTCTGCCATTTTTTCTTACAAGTCAAGTTCTTGATGGTAGATAATGATGTATGTGTTTTGGTGGTTGGTTTAATATTTTTTTTAAGAAAGGGGTGGTAGATAATGATGTATGCGTTGTAGTACTTTATTGGTTGGCTAAAGTGTTTTTTGTAAAATATTTTGTTTGTTTCCAAATTTCCAGAATTATGATACAGTTTTATAAATTGAAACCAAAGAACGAATATTTTGTTATTATTGTGTTATTATTATATTATATTATTGTTATATATATATTAGATATTATGAGAACAGATAGTACAGGGTTTGGATAAAATAATGGAAATACCTGTTAATTTCTATATTTTATTTATTAATATGGAATTGGTCCTCCACGAGCAGGCAATACAGCATTAACACGACGTGACACAAGAGGTTGCCTATCAGACAATACAGCATTAACACGACGTGAAACAAAAGTGTTGTCGGTCAGTTCTACCATTCGTCTATTAAAGCTTATTTTAACTGTTGGGGTGATTTCTGTGGCGAATATCTGGCTTGAAATGTGGTTCCAAGACCCGATCCTAAAGGATTGATGACATTTAAATCTGGTGGCCTGACTAAGTGCTTCATCGTGTTCTTCGAACCAGTATCTAACAATTTCACTACTATGACTTGGTGTATTGTCTTTCTCAAATGGACCAACTCCGTTAGGGAATAGTGCTCATAACAGGGTTAACTTGGTCTGAAATAAAGTTTGTGTGATCATTTTCTGTTACTTTACCTTTCAGTGAGATCATAGGCCCTAAACTATTCCAACAAAAACTGTCCATTCCACCAGAGTGTCTCCACCGTTCTTAACTGGTAGCACAACACATTCAGGGTTGTAAGCTTATTTTGGTTTTAGCCAAACACAAAACGTACATTTTGTGGGAAAAGTATACAAGATATTCATCTGTTCAAACCACATCTTTTCTTTGATTTTTGTACTTTTGACATTTTTTGGTTTAACTCAAGGTTTCTGAACGGCAGAGCTACCATTGTAAATCAGATTTTATAATTACTTTCTAGTACTTATGACAGAGATTGGTTCTTGTAGGATGACTTTAAGTTCTGGACAAGCTTTGGATGCTGCAATTTTTTGTTTTCGTCTGAGTTCTCGTCTGTTAGAAACTGACAACTTATATTTGTCTGGTGTCTTTCAATATCCCTGCTGATACCACATATTGCACTGCTCCTCAGGATATTTTCATTGTATTTGTATGATATTTATCGATATTCCTGCTGACACCACATCTAACACTGTTCCTCAGGATATTTTCATTGTATTTGTATGATATTTATCGATATTCCTGCTGACACCACATCTAACACCGTTCATTGCTTTAGGTGTTC